AATCATTATTAAATTTGCTAACGATATATCGAATAGTATAATTCAATCGAAGAATTAAACCTGTTACTTGATATAATTATAGCGTTAGTTTACTTGTATGAAAGACATGCTGAATAAGTCATGTAAAAACGACAAAAATTAAACTAAAAACACTTGTTTTATTGCCTGAAGCTTAAAGCGAAGATATACTCCACGTGCTGTATGAATAATGTTTAGCATTTTATCGCAAAGTATTTGTGCTTCGTATTTTATAGCCTGTACTTCTGTTATTGCTGTCATGACAAATATCAATAAAACTTAGCCATATAAGTTAGATTCGTGACATACGATTAGCAAAGTATATGCAATTTTGTTAGACGTGTGAATACATATAAATGTAAATATGCAATCGAAACAAGTAGACAAAAATCATCAACATAGTTGATTACATCTTTAAGACATTTATTTTTTTATGTATTTAATAAGTACTTTTCTTTACTCATATATTTATTTTTATTTCTTTCTATTTATATGAATAATTGAACTAGAGTAATTGATTTTTTATTTATTAGTATTATTATTATTTATTTTTATTATTTATTTTATTTTTTTCTATTTATATGAATAAATAATTGAACTGGAGTAATTGATATAATGAGCATAATTTGATATAATAAACGGTCCATTATCAAATTAAATAAAAATTCATATTTTTCAAAATATTTAGCTAAAATCGAAAATATTTTATTCAATATTTACTTCATTTCAATTCATCTAATCAATAATAGAGCCAAATATAAAATATATTAAATTAGATCAATTATATATAGAGTATGGAAATAAAATATGCATCTGTCCATTTATCAAATGCATCATCTGTAATAAACTAAAATATTACTTTCATATTCCAATTTCTATAATTCAATAAAATATTGTCAAGTAAAAAATGAGCTTTTTCAATTAATTTTTCAAGAAAAAAATTGTTGAAATTGTTAAAAATTGTTTTAATTTGTACAATAATTTTCTCTCTTCTCTTCTTTTCTTTTTCCAAAAATATTTTATTTATTATAATTATAATAAAAACAAAATAATCAAACAAATATAAAATAGACTAAAACTAAAATATCTTCTTAAGACACTGTTACTATTGAAATATAATTGGAGCATGATTGTAATTGAATGTTCAAAAAACATAATATTTTTCATAATGCTATTAAAAAAATGTATGTATGTATGTGTATGTATAAATATACATACATACATATATTTTTTTGAGATTTCTTAATTATTTATTATATATATATATATATATATATATATATGTTTTTTTTAAATATATATTCTTTAAATATATCATGATGTATTACCAATTTTATATGTATTTCAATTTTATATTGAATCGTATAATCATTTAATTATGTTTCGATTCTAATAGAAACATAATTAATAACGATATGACAAGGATAACATATGAGAAATTCGCACGAGAATAGTGCCGAATTGAGAAAAAGACATGATACCTGCGACTGAATCGGAAATTTGCACTTTCATTAGGCACGGCCCTGAGCTCGTACGATGTCGAGAGGAGGAGGATCGGTGGGACCAGAGAGGGCTGCGGAGTTTTCGGGAAAGAAACCGGCGCGGCGAGAACACGCGGTAGTGAAGGTGAAGGGGGACGATACCGCTCTCGAAGATCGGCGCGACTCGCCGGCGTGTTACTATGCTACAGTGCCGCCCTCGATGGTGGATCCACGCAAAATTCACATATGATCCATGCCAGCGAAATCCACACGTGATCCACACACGTGCGGATCTCACGACGAGGGTATTGCTGCGATCTAGCGGACGCTCGCATTAACTTCATCGCACCTGGCGACTACTGTCACGTGACATCTCGCGCGATCGTATTTAAATCGCGCACAAAATTATACGAAATATTTTTTTTATAATCAAACAGGGCAACGTTTGCGTTCATAATAAACCTATAATAAATTCCCAGGAGAATTGATGTAAAAATATTTTTCATTTATATTCTTCTAAAATTAAACAATAAGTTGACTATCATACCTAAATTTGTTTATAATGCAATTGCCTATACAAATCTATATATATGAGATATTAAAATTAAAATTTCTTTTTTTAATTTATAAAAAAAATATCAAGAGAATATATTTTGTGAGAAGAAAAATCTTTAGACCCATGCTGATAATACCATTGTGCAGGTCAAAGATGCATTACGTACTTCTATATATAGAAGTTTATGTGATTACATATCATACAAAAAAGTATGTCTGACACAAATGAAAAACACAAAATTTTGTTATATTTAATGATTCTAATAAATCGTCTTACCTTTACATTTGGTGCCCACTCTGCCAGTTCCCCAGATATAATCGTCACCTGTAATAAAAAGATTACAGATAAATATTTGTGTATTTTTTTTCAAGATATAAAATTTTCTCAATTACATTAGAATTTTTTGAAATAATATTAAAGTTTTGTTAAACTTTATTCAAAATAAAATTAAATATTTAAACTACACATTTTTGACATAATATCTGACAAAATATTTGACAAAATTGAAAAGATATAATAAATTGATGAAAATTACTTTAATAATATAATAAATCTTTTTATAAATTGCAAGTTAATCTGTTAATTTAGTTTACTGTGCTATTGCAGTGTTACTTACAGTGCTTGCAGAGGATAGGCGTTACAAAATACACATCTACGAGGATGTGATTGTACGAGTTGTGTTCTGCACTCGTCGAATCGGCTACATACGCTGAAACAAGGAAACAAGGAATTAACAGATTTAAATTAAACAAATTTAATTTTCAGTTACCGAAAAATATGAAAATAACGTTCGCTATTATGACGGTATATATGTATTAAAATTGTTAAAATTTACCGTACGGTCCATTGCTAAGCGTTACATAAGACGACTCTTCTTCATTGTGAGTGTCGAGGTACGGTGACAAGCTTCCTTTCAGCATTAGGGATTCGTCAATCGTATCTTTCGTATCTACACACAAAATTATACAAATATAAATTAGATAAATTGTGGAAATGAAGAAGCATCCAAAAACAAAGTGCGTTAAATATAATGTATAAAATGAAATTATTCATACCAGGCACAAAGTCTTCCACTAAATTCTGGTATCGTACACTAATGTGCTGTTTCCAATCTTCACAGATGTATCAGCAGGTGCTGTGTTTATGAAGGAATGATCATATCAGCAGATCGTCTTCATAGAAAAATGTATGTAAATTTACTCACTTGTTTGTCATACATCATATGTAGGAAATATGAATGATTTTGTGCAATACTATAATCACGAAACATAATCTCTTTTGGCCCTTATGCATTCTCTTCAGAGACTCAAAGCACTTTTTTTTATGGCTTCATAGCTATCAAGGAAGGCATTTATTTCATGTGCGATCTCAGATTACTTGCAGCTATTTGAGCATTATTTAGGAAGGCCGATCTTTATGTAATCGACGATATAGTTTATCTTCTTATTGGGCACATACGAATCTCACACATTGATTTGTAATTATTAAAAATAATGATTTGCTCTCTGTTAAAAAAATTATTATATCCTTATACACTGCTATTCTTTTAAAAATTATCTCTATTGCTGTACATGAAATATGTAAAATGCAGTGTGACAATGTTATTCCAAAGATGTTGGTTAGCCAAATATCTTTGAGTTTCTCCTCAATAGCAATGTGATATGAACACTATGATAATTATTCATGCGTGACGATGCAACGCATCATAATGTTTATCATTCTCCTTTGCATTTCTTTCGTGGACATCCGCTCTGCAAATGTACTTCTTCTTGCTTGTCACTATTTCTACGTTTCATATCCAAGATATCGTGAGCCTACGATGGTGATCTGCGTAACACATAAAAATCATAATATTACAGATGGATCAAACAATTGTCGTTTTTTAACTAACAATAATTACTGTTTTTAACTAACTAACGACAATTATGTAAATATCATCTTATTCTTTTGTAAATTTGATTTCAAAAATATATTTGACACTTGGATTAGTAATAATGAAGTTAAAGATATTACTCCATTGATTAAACAAGCTGCTTCCTGAGAAGCTAAATGCAAAGTTAAGATCATATTTTATACATTAAAAAAGACTTGTGTGTCTTATAATATTTACAATTGTTATATACGAAAAAAAATCTCTAAGCTAACCTCTTCCACCTCTTTTTACAGAAGAAACACAAGACTTCTTTTATGTAAAATACATGTTCAATGTTTGTTTATTTAAGATTCAACAATACTACGATATTCTATCGATATCCTTAATTCAAATCCACAAAACTTTCACTTGCCATTTGCTAGATAACTGTCACCAGCTTAAAAAACATATACGACGTGCATGCGTGAACCGCATGCCTCGGCGAAGCCGTAAACGAAAGTTCACGTGCCAAATATGTGTACGGGAAAGAGAGAGATCAAGATAGGTAGAGAGAGATAGAGATAAAGAGGGAGAAAAAAAAAGATCATAGCGCGAACAAAAACGCTTACCTTACTCAACGTTGCCCTCGTCGAGCGGAAGGCGATGGGAGCGGCGAAAGGGCGAGGTGGATGCGCTTCACCACCTCGCCAACGGGATCCTCGACGACGTGAAGCTCGCGACGCGGATACTCGGGTCGGCGCGCGTGAGCGACAGCTACGGTGACAACGCTCGGCGACTCGGTGGAGCTCCTCTTCTCGGATCGACTCCGCACTCGTGTTAACCGCACACGCCGGAAACTCGCGGGTGAGACCGTCGTCGTCACTTACCAGCGACGGGGGTGCGCACAATAATAATATCGTCGATCGTGTCGCGACACGAACGAACACGGTTAGGCCAGCTTAGGCAGCTGAGGTCGCCACCGGTTGTCAGCTCGAAGAGCGTAGATCGACCGCGCGATCGAGACTGCCATCTCGAGCGAGCGGCGCCCCCTCTGACGGCAACGACTCGCGTTATCGCTGGCGGTGGGGGCTCAGCTGAGATGAGTTTGCGAGCGCGAGTCGCGTTGACAGGTCTACTCTTTTTGTTACCACGTGGACAAAGACAAACCAGTGCACGCTCGCCTCGCTCGCGCGACTCACACACGATCGTTCATCTCCTTATATAGCGAATTGGAGCACCGTCTGAGAGAAATCTCGTTATCATGAGCAGGATTACCCAGGAAGCCTACGACGAGGAGATCAGGGAGCTGATGGAGGGCCTCGGTATGACCGAGGAGGAGGCGGTCGAGGACGCTATCAAGTGCTTCGAGATGAAGGTAATACCGCATCCTTTGTTTACACTGCTCGATGATCAATGAAAAATATCCTTTTGGTCCTTGCGCGCGCGACTATATGACTCATACTTCAAGTGGTCAAGAATTTTCACTCTCGATGTATGTACTAGAAATAAAGAAAACAATGAGAAATTTTTCAAATTTTGAGGAGAACTTTATAAAATCCCTTTTTTATCTCGAATTTTTTAGAAATTAATCTTGATGAATAAGTTGTATAATGAATAAATAGAAAGTATCTGTTTTTGTTTCGCTTCTTTTATACGAGAAATTATGTGAGAAAATTTATAGAGCTATGTGAAATTTTATAAAACATTAGCGAGAATTTATTTGGAAATTTACATTGTATTTTTATACTTTAATCAAAAATGTTTTGCTTCTGATGTATACATTTACATGAGTCATTAGCGAATAAATCATCGAGAATTTTCATCGATGTCATTGGAAACACGAAATATTAAATCAAAGCGAAAAACTGCACGGTTAACTATAAATTGTAAAATTTTATTTTATTAATTGGAGAGCAAAAATACTATAAAAAAGTTTAAATTTTAATAATACTTTCGTGAATATTTTTTGAAAGTTTTAGGTTTTTTTAACTGATTTTTTTATTATATATTATTCTTATTAAAAACGAAACTTTAGCACTTATAGAAGAGTACTTACAAAAGTATTCTGTGGTATAAAAATAAAATTTGTTACGTGTTCCTTCCGCATTTCTTGACGGTTTTAGTTTCGGAGCACTCGGTGTCAATTGCTATCTTAAGACATTGGCCCATTCTTTATCGTACTGTATCTATCTTAACGCATCTTTGATACTGTAAAAAAAGAAAAGATAAATTTGTATAAAAAAGATGAAAAAAGAATTTACTTTAAATTATGAAGAATATTATAACTATTATCTACTTCGTCACAAATAAATTATTGTTAAAGAAAGTGATTTCATTCACACAAAAGACATTAATTATAACATAAATACATAGATCTTTAAATATTTATAAAATAAATTAATTGAAACTTTTGTGCACAAAATTAGAGAAAATTTCATATATTTGATAACAAGGCTTAATGATATAATTGTTGCGATATAATTAACATGGAGTTTATTTCGTGCAGGGGATAGATTTGAGCAACATTATCACAGATTTAGTTCTTGAGGACAAATACAAACAAATAGTGATATGTCTGGAGAAATTAAAGCGCGCTGTAAACGACAAAAGTTATGAATGTGTGCCCGAGACATTGCAAGAATTGCGAACTGAATTGGATAAGGACATTCGATACAGAGTTTTTGCGGGTAAACGCAAATGTTACAATGTCCTGCTCGATCTCTTGAAGGATTGCAAGAAAAATCACGTGATATTTAAATCCGCGCTGGAAACGATTACCTCATTAATGTCCGGTTATCCAGATTTATTGGACGACGACGGGATTGCATTGCAGACAGAGTAAGGATTATTCCTTGCAAGACTGATTCTAAAAAATATATATATATTAATAAATATATTAATATATTAATAAATATCTTTCAAAGTCACAAAAATATAGAATATTATAAGTATTATAAGAAAAAAAAGATCATACTAATTTAAAATCGAGAAGAACAAAGTAATAAAGAAAAAGTTTCTTAAAGTTTTAATCGGATAAAAAGATCGAAATCAGCTATTGATGTCATTTATGAGAATATCGAAATATTCAATATTTTTCCAAAAATATATTTATACATTCTTGTTTAAATTAAATATTATAAATATTTTTATATGTTTATTTTATAAATTTTATTTTTTACATTTTTTAAATCCAATAATAATTAAATAATTTAAAAAAAAACTGACATAAGATGCACAAATATAAAAAATCGTGATTGAAAAAGTAAAAAATATTTTATTTCTATTTTATAAATATTTATCTTCTTTTTTATCTCTGAATCTTTTTCACGGAATATTATTCCTTGTCAGGATTTTAGAGAGGCATCATGATACTGCGACATTGCAGTGTCTGTTGCATTGGATACGAGAATGCTGCATAAAGCATGAGCTAAACAGACAAAAGATCTTTGACACTAATATCTTTGAAAAACTCAAAAAAATATTGGTGCGCGAGGACGTAAGTGCGTACGAGATCAAGGATGCATGTTCAGTGATTCGAGCATTGGTCCTGGATGATGATATCAGGCATGAATATGGAAAGGCTCATGAGCACGCAACTGTCATGGCAAAGGGCGCTCTCGATGTCCTTACAGAACTGTTGACAAGTAGATTATATTTTCAAATAGATTTACAATTAATCTGAATTATTTTTGATGATTATTCTTTTATATTAAGTAAAAAACATTACATTGTGATAATATATGCATTTGTCACGCGAACAGGATTTAAGAAAGACGCGAAGGTCGTAGGTGATTTAATGATCACCTTGGCTGCATTAATCGTTCGAAATGAATTCTGCCAAGAAGTAGAGGATGCTGGGGGTTTGAAATTTATTCTGGATATAATGACTGATCATCCAGACTCTGAAAAATTAAATTGGCAGGCTTTAAAGTTACTCAAGGCGCTTGCTGGCAATGACAATGTGAAATCTCATATTGTGACTTCCGGATGCGCACCTTTAATCGTATCCGTTATCAGTAGAATGAAGGTAAATTTATATCTGTGGTAAATACATGAAATCTCTTTTTTGGAGAATAATCCGTCTCCAGACATATTTCTTTTTATCATACAGTGAAACAAATAGTTTTTAAGACGAATTTTCATTAAAATATATATTTGGCAGAGATCGGAAAATGTTGTGACTGCCGGATTAGGTTGCATATCCGCATTATCTTTACGAAGCACTTCAAACTCTGGTGTATTTTACGATTGCGGCGCAGCCCAAGTGATCGTAGATGCTATGAAGGCTTATCCTAACAATGTAAATGTCCTGAAACAAGCCTCGTGGGCAATTAGAAATATGTCAGTGCGAAACAGATCCGAGTCCAAGGAGTTTTTAGCATATGGCGTTGAAGAAGTGTTACGGGATGCGTTACGTTTGCACGGTCCCAAGTTGGAGGACAACATAAAAGCAGCATTGAGAGATCTAGGACTGAAGGTAGATCTAAAAGAAAGATGGACAGGAAAAGGTATCGGCGTGAGTAACTAGCGTTATTAATAATTGTTGTCAACAATATTATTGATAAAAGTATAGTATTAAAATTATATTTACTATACATTGATAATATGAATTTTGTACTTCGCTTTATCACCTCGCAATGCTATATTTGATAATAGTCTTGATTAACATAATTAATAAGATTTTTGTGCTCAAAAAATATGAATTTTGTAAAATAGCCGCGATTCTTCAATTTCATAAAACGTCAACATTTTAATTTATGTATATTGTTTTTGTTGATTAGAATTATATTTTTATTGGAATGTTTTCAAAGCAAAATTAAATCGTAACAATATCTAATATAATTTCGTTTATCGTGATAAATTGTCACTCATTATATAAAATAATTAGGGATTTTATTTATACACATATATAGTGCCTGAAATTTATATAATATACTTATCTAATACACTGCCAGAATTTATATATATATATATATATATATATATATATATATTGCATATTTTTATTTAATTAATTATGTTATCTGTACTTAGTACAGTCATTTTTACTCAATTTTACTTTTATTAATATGTATAGATAATTCTATGAACTAGATTTTAAACAGTGAACACACACTATAAATTATTTCCATATATACATAATTTAATTATAGTTATTAAAGATAAACAATTAAATGTTTTCCTCAATTTGCATTATAATTAAAATTTTGAGATAGATAGATAAAATATTTTACTAATTAAAATTAATAATCAAGGCTGCTGGTACAATCATAATGTACCTAGGTAATGTAAACATTGCTGAACTGAAAAAAAGACAAATTAATATCGAATAAAGAATAGTGATACACATATATACCGATTGCATTTTATAAATTATTTTCTATAAATGTAATGAAAAATTTTATATGTATGTAATATATTGCATATGAGAAATAAAAATTCATTTTTAATTAGACATAATTTATTAAACATGATTGATTCATTAAAGGCTATCTCCTCTTCTTCTTTCGGTTCACTTCTCATAAAGACTGTCTCCTTTTTTTCCTTTTCCTTTTCTGTTCACATCTCATGAATCTAATTTTATGCAGCATAAATAAAATGCAAAAATTATTAAATATTACATAATTCGAAAACACTTATTTTCGGGGACTTAATTATATCAATTAATTAATTTACACGAAAACACTTACTTGATTATTTGTTGATATTAAAAAAAATTATTACCTCGTTTGATATATAATAAATTAAAAATAGATAGTTAAAAAGAATAAATTAACTCTTTCAACGATAGTATTGGAGAAAATATTGTGAAAAAAAATATAATAACATATTTTTATTCGACCCATTATATATATGTTCTGTATAGAGAGTTTTTCCTTCAAATATAAATGACATAAAAAAAAGGATATTTTATTTTCAACCAATCTGTTAATATTCATTTAATTCCTTACTTTTTCAAATTTCCTTGAGCAAAAACAGGTGTTCATTGAACCGCTTTATTAATATCTAATATAAGAGAGAACGCTCGAACGTCAAACATGTAATTACAATCTGTAATACATAAGTAACGCATGTCTATTCTTATCAGTCTGATTCTCTTCGCATCTTAAGTAGAAACATGATCTATATTATTCCAGAAGATATTATAACATATAAGATTCATGCGTAGGATAATGATTTTTAGTAAAATTGCTTATATATATTATTTCGGTGATGTTGCAAGAGAAAAGTGCGGAAAATCGGATTGAACGATTCTTCATACTGCAAAAATATTATTATAAAACGCATTATAAAACGTACGATAATTAATTAAATGTAGAAATTAAAGTATTGATTTAAATTATTAGAAAATAAAAAAATAGTTGCTTTATTCTTATTAGTCATGTTCTATCTATGTAAATTAAATGCAAATATTTCGAATAGATCCGATTTTCTGCGTGTAATGATGAGTCTTTTTATACAAAGAGACATTGTAATGTTATTATATATATGAGCAAAAAGATTGACGTAATATACTTGCAGATTATGAAGTAGCCAAATTTCAAATTTTCTATTTGCAAGCAATCATTCTCGTTTTTAATTATAACAATTATATTTTTAATAGTGTATAATTTCGTCACAATTAATTATATATCGATTGCAATATGATTGTCATATGATACTGTTTTCGATTAAGGCTTTTATTGCACTACGAGTGACACAAAAGCAATTTTACAAAGCGCCAAACAATTTTTCTTTCTCGGAGAGCAATTGATTTATTGTATTAATCATTATTAATCATAATTGTTCGTTATCGTTCGTTGTACTTCATTCCTGCAGACTACGATTGTATCACAGTTCTTGACGAGATCACACTCGCGATAGTCGAGCTACGCGATTGAGACATATATGTGCTTGCGATGACATAGAACATATATTTACGGACACTAGTGGACGTTTTGCCTCGATAAAGGAGCACGATAATGATTTTATTATATTCATTTTCGTACTTCTTAATGTTAATGATATTGTACAGTGTACTGTCTTAAAAATAAATTTGTTTTTCGTTGAAAATGACTTTTATAAATTTACATTAAAACTTACGTAGTCAAAAGAATATCCGCTACAATCAAATATGTAATTATTTATATTAATCAATCAATTAATAAATTGTATATAATAAATAAAATATTTTTCCAAAAATTTTTCTCTACAATTTCTATAAAATGTTTACTTGTCAGATATAAATATATTTTAATGCAATATACTACAAATATTTTATTTATTATACGCTTTTTTTCTAGAGAAAATAGAAAAAACTTAAAGTTTTAAATACTTATAAAATATTTAAAATGATATTTGCAGTAATTTTTTTTCTGAGAAATAGATGCAATTAATTCGAGTGGCAATTGTTCTGTATTTTCCAATCAAAATAAAGTTGATAAAGTGATTTAGTTAAATATATAAGATTATATCACAGCCATTGACATTTAACACTCAAACAATTACTGTTACACAATTGTAATAGACCTTCGCCGCATTTATACATTCACGTTAAAGCATTTCTCCAAAGCATCTCGCATAATCTATCGTTTTGCATGTAAAATTGCGTTATTCGATGATGTAAGAAACTGTAAATATTTATAATATCATTATATTCAAGTGACATCAGCATTATTTCGTTATTTGATAAAAATCCAGACACTTGTAATGAATATTCAATTGAGCAATTTTCGTTCTTGAATTGAAATCTCAAAGAGAATTGAATTTTCAATTTTAAATATAATGATAACAATTAAATATAATATATATTAAAGAATTTTATATAAAATCTCAAAATCTATGTATAAAAAAATGGAAATTGTAACAATAAAAAAATATATATATGTATATATATAACATTTAAACAATGAAAATATATTATGATAAAATTAATAAAACAATGTGAAACGAAATCAATCTGAAACAGTTTTAATTTAAAATTCTAAAATTCTATAAATTCTTATATGTTTTTGACTTAAAGATACATTAATTCAAATAAAATATAAACATAAATCTCACATTTATTACATAAATTTTATAATAATATAAATATTAACATAATTTGAAAATATGTTAATTTGTTAATAAATATATTAATAAATATGTTATAATTAATATGTTAAGTTATCAGAAAAAGAAGATAAAAATTATGAAATATACACTTACCTGTAATCAAAATAAATAAATCGATATAAAATTAATAATCGAAAAAGGAATAAATAAAATTTTTGTATAAATAATTTGTAATTGCTAGAAAAATAAAAAATCTAAGCGAGATATGAGAAATACAACTCGATACAGAATTCACTTGAATAATCCTTTAGAAATGGTAAAGGAATTTAATCGATACAATTTGGATTAATTAATCCAAACACTTTGAGACTATAATGGCATTAACAACTTGTTTCCAATGATATATTAAAAACGAGTTTAACATTGAATTAATATGCTGACAATATACATAGAGGATTACTCTATTTTTTAATTTTATATATATATATATATATATATATATATATATATATATTTATGTATTTATTATCTAACGACGAGATTATATAATTTACACATACGAGCATATATTTCTATTACTGTATATATTATCATGCTTAATCAACTTACTCGAATGAATTCATTACCTAATGACATATGCAGAACGAGAGTTTTAATATCGTAATTCCTTCGAGATCAATTAAAAAAATTTGTTTCATTTCAAAATTTGTTAATTTGAAATATCTTATCATGTAGTTTCATTAATCAATTTCGTCAATTATAAATTTTTATAAAAAAAAGCACACTTTTCTAATTTATATGCTTATTTTCTGACTTATATGTATAAAAGCTGTTATTAACATAAAACATCTAAAAAAATTATTAATTCTTAATAAGAAATCAAAATTAAAATCATGAGGCCACACTGAATACAAGGAAACGTTAACAAATATTTACGCTTTGTTAGAAGAAATGCTTTCATAATTTTATCGCGACGTTAGCACTTTATTTAGTACATTATTTTGCAATATATATGTATAATAAACTGCGTATTTTCAGAACTTATTTACAAAAAGAATATTTCTTTCCGTTTAGATTAAACTCGTATTCGAGTACCAAGTGTGGTGTAGTAGCATTGTCACATTAAATTGTCATCTGACGGATTTTCATATTTTAACACAGAAGATTGTATTTCCGTGACAAAATGTTTCTTTTCGGAAACAAGCAATGTCGATTTTTTATAGCGATGTATTTTCTGGTCTGTGTAACACAAACCTGTGTGCTCGAATGACACCTTTTACATCGTTTCACGTCGATTCTGGAATACAAACTCACTGGAAACTCGTTTAGTTTTACGCGATCGATGCAGAGATGGATATAGCAGCTTCAGAGATTTCCATGAGCATACAGGTTTTGCGCAAACATGCATGCAAAGAGAGGCTCGTTATCCAGGGATGTAATTGGATATATTTGAGGCTTCATCTTCATCTTCGAAAATATTATTACTCTTTAATAGGACTGTTTCGTGATGTATATCGCTTAAAGCATACATCAGATTTAAATTAAAAACGCATTAAAAGCACGTATAAGCACTTTTTTTATGTTGATGCTATGAATTAAATTGAAATGATATTTAGAGAAGAGTAACATTTTTTCAGTACGTATATTCATCTTTTATATGTATATATTTTTTTCTTTTTTATTTTAATTCTATTTGTAGAATAAAGTAATATATGGCAAATACTTCTAAATGCATATTTTAATTAAATTTGACAGAAATATCTTTTTTAAGCAATAAATTAAATTAAATTTTTTATTGAATTAAAATTTCTAGCTACAATTATGGCGCCACGTTTAATACGAAATGTAATAAAATTTACCTGATTTACTCATTATACATAAATTTCATATTTAATAAATAAAATTTAGAAATAGCTATATATGTACCGTTAAATACAATATTAAATAGAGATAAAAATATGAGTCTTCTTATTTTTCTTACATGAATCATTAAGATATTTCGGGTCTTCAAGAATGAAATCCTCATATAACTTTCATTTCGAATACAGCAAATATGCCGCTCGATAAAAAGCACATAAAAATTAAGCTTGCGATACTGCATATAAAAGCATCAGAGCCGACTGCGTGTATGCATAGGCGCCTGTTCGAATCGATAAAATTACGGTCCTGCATCCCCTGTTCGCGGCGATGATAACACAGATATCGACATTGTACATGCACGCAACGCGACGTAAACGACCCGTACATGTATCTGCAGGTGGATGTATCATATCACATCGCACACAGAAATATCAAACAATACAAAATCTAAACCTTCTCGCTATGTTCGAGATCCTCGAAAAAATCAAGATTAATTTACCGAGGATTAGTTTCTCTCATAAAAATGTCTATTTTTAATTCGAATAGAGAGAAACTTATTGTGTTTTTAATATATAATATTTTTATACCTATATTTTATCTTATTTTATTTGATTTATTTGTCTTCAGAGCACAATTTTAATATTTCTCCAAAAGTTGACTCGTAAAACTAAAATGAAAGATTAAAACGAAGAGAAAAAGAAATAAATTTTGCGTTCTGAATTCATCGATTCTTTCTGATTCGTCGAGATATTCTTTGAAAAAAAAAAAAAGAAAAAATTCTGCAATTCTATGAAAATTACATTACTCTGATTGGCAAAAGAAAATATGACTACATAAGAAAACGTGTAATTCGAATCCATGTCGCGTAACATAAATAAAACTATACATATATAATCATCTTTCTGTAGCAGTCTTACGCTCGGCATGATTTGCCTCTGTGACATGATATCTATATTTTATTCAATGAATACTAACATCGCATTCATAAAATTGTGAATGAACGCAAAATTACTGCCTTAGCTACTGGCGACATTGGCAACACGAGTGCTTGTAATATTTGATTCGGCATAAACCGTTCTTTACTACTAAAGCGCAATTCGGATATTTGTCAACGCACTCGGATGGTTCGTGCACTTCTGAAATGTAATATTAAAATATATCTATCAAGCACATCTTTAAACAGAACTGATAAAGAGATAATATATCTTACTATTATTATTGAATAATTATTAAATAATTACTCGAACTGTATTTGCTAAAATTAAAAAAAATTGAAAGAAGTAGCGTAAATTTTCTTACTTTTCGGTGGTTTGTTCACTCCTAGTATCTCCTTCTTACACGGTTCCATATTACATTGTTGCTCCATGGTTGGTTTCGTGATTTCTGAACAATTGATGCTACTGATACCCTCGAAAATGCATCGTACAAGTCGTGTTTGTACTCCAATTCCGCATGTTACAGAACACTAAAGAAAAGACACAAGAATTGCATTAAATACACTTCCTAAATATAAACTGATAAAATTCTTAAAGGGAAAAATTTCTGTAACGAAAGATTCTTTAAATATAATTCATGCATTTTACCGACGACCAATTCGAGGTGAACCATTCCGGCGAACATGCCGAATTTCTGCAGACTTGTTTAGTCGCTGGCTTCGGATCACTGCAATTTTTTGCAGATAGTATGACAAACTCATCATTGGTTCTAGCTATGCAAGAAATATCTCGATGTTGCATACCATCCCCACACGAGACAGAACACTAAAAACATACAAGATACAATTAATATAAGATATTACATTGCTATAGTGATTAAATTATATTATATAGTAATTAGAAAAAGAATAAAAAAAATTTTTTATTAAAAGGGATTATTTTGTGTGATTCTATTGTCATATTAAATCATCTAGAAAAATAAAATTATAATGTAAAAATTGTGCAACTTTGTAATCTGTATCTATATAATTAAAAATGTGCATTTTAAAATTAAAATTAGATTTATTTAAAAAATTAATGTCATCTACGGTGATCACTTTAGCATTACGTGTTGCCACGAAGCGAGCGTTTTATTTTCTGAGTCATCTTGTACTAACGGAAGTCCATGGACCGATGAACCATTTGGCCCGATCACAGTTCATTCCTCGTTCGAAACAAGGGATCTCCGTGTCCGGTCTCTCTTTGGGATTGCAAAATAATTCGCTACCGTCAGCGCATGCCACTCGTCTAATTTTCAAACCATTTCCACATTCCGCAGAGCACTACAACAGTGACAAGTAAGTCTATACGCTGCATATCTCCCGAATAAACGTATATATTTTATTTTTATTTTAAAGACAAAAAGTATAAAATATATAAAATTCAATGTTTGTGTCAAATATACATATTTTTATACCAATTGTCATTGAAAATATTAGATTATGTATTTAAAGTATATCGAATGTGAATATTCTTAAAATGCATGAGAAGAATCTATAATTTTTGAATAAAAATATTCTTTTTTAAATTTAATGTTTGCTTATGCTTAGAAAAATTAAATCAACAATGTATGTATTTTATACTTTAGAAGACCATTCTGAGTACAGCCAGGGTGAATGATGTCCTATGTCCGTTACTGCATTACAAGTTGTAATTTCGCACGCTTTTTCAGATTCCGGCTTATTGGCTAGTGAACAAGGTTCTCCGGTCGTTATGCAAGTTACTGTTCGATTTCGGATTCCACGACCGCATGTCGTCGAGCACTAAAAAGTTAGCAATTATGTGACAAATCAGACGCTCGATAAATAGAGGAATTGAAATCAATTTTGATAGTATAAAACAAAAAGTTCCGTTAATGTCATTTAACTACTCGTTAGAGAATCATAAAAAGCGAAAAAATATTGGCATAAAATTAATAATAAAGAATTTATAAAAAATTAATTTTATAATATATTTATATAATGGAATTTTATTATTGCGCTATTATTCGTCGAAACTACATAATAATTTTTGAGCTCACATTTTAATATCTTTTTAACTAGTCTGTATCGCGTTACACAGACATTTTAATAAGAGATTAAGATAAGAGATTTCTATTTTCTAATTCCTCATTTTCTGACCTACTTCCTAAACTGCTAAAGATAAGCGTCAACAAAAGTATTTAACAAATTAATGACTCACCGGACTCCAAATGGTCACTTCCCACCTGGGTGCGTCGTGTTGTGAGAGCATATGCCTCAATTTTGGGCCTACGACAGGGCCTGCGACAGGGGGCTCTGTGTTGGGACAGGGGGGCAGATTGCAAGCTTCCGTGGTGTTCAGATCTAGCGGTTGAATGCACGCACCGGCAGCGACGGGTATTGTCAATCTTGCATTCAACTCCTGAACGCATTCGATTTTCCGCGTTCTGATGCCTTCTCCGCAAGTGACCGAACATTTGCTCCACTGCTCGACTCGCCATCTAATAACATTTCCATTTCATTGAATACGAGAATTAAACTATCTGAATAAATTAAATTCCAAATATAAGATTATCTTTTATTTTTGTTTTATCAGAAATTCCTTAATATTTGACTCTTTTCTCAGCAAAAATGATTAAGCATTGCAAGTTCTCGATTTTTAAGCAATTAAATACGTGATAAAAGAATATCGATCTTGTGAATGTATTAAAAAAATTAAGTGAAAGAAGATACGATGATGATCGGAGGATTTATTGGAAAATCACTATGAATAAAAAATATATCGATGTACAATAGATACCTGGCGGAGCAAGGATGATCGTTGCATCGCAGCGGGGGAGGATTCGGTTTTGCCACGTTGCGACAACGTTTATCATTGACAGGAGTCTGATTACTCTCACGAATGCACTTTAGAATCGTTGAACGTATGCCTGTAAATAAAGATATAGCGAATAGCTTAAATGATGTGAGTCAAGTTTTCTTATTTGATTCTCGATTAATTAAAATTTTATTTCCTTGGCAAAAAATTGATATTAGCCTTGTAGGAAAATTGTTAATATAAGATATAAAATATTATTTTAATAGAATTCTATTAAAATATAATTTCAAAATGACAAGAAGATTAAAAAAGATGAAAAGAATAAGATTATAATTCTGTAGCTTAAATTGCAAAAGACTTTTCATTTTCAATTAATTAAATCAGTTAAATTCATTTTCAGCTAATAAAAAATAATAAAAAAATCATTAATTCCTTATCTTATTGTTATTAAGGAAATTTCAATTTCTCATTAATTAAAAAATTAATGGATAAAATAAAATGCGAGAGAAATAGCTTGTATTATGATCGACATGTATTATGATCATCGCGTTCTTTTTCTTCATTGCTTTCCGCCCGTATCGTGTCAATTTGAATTACGACATTTATTTAAATCACAGCATCGACTAACGGATGCTGTCACCTGTAATGTCTATATGTCAAATAAGTGAGCATGGAGCGAATATCAATTATAATTTCCGGCTAGAGCATGCTTTAGCATATCTTGGTAAATGTTTACGTCTACAGTCGTCTGTTTCATTCATTTATATTTTTCATTTTATTTATCTAGTCCGATTTATATAAAATGATTTTTAAACGCATAGATTTTTTTCATTATTGTATAAAGTAGATTCAAAATATCTCATTCGAAATATTTGATTATCACACGCTAAAATATGTACAATTGTACCGAAACGAACATATCTCGGGTCACTTCCCACGCAATGCCACGGTGATGTCTAGACAAAGTCGTTTTCGTAATGACCTTAATTATCCAGGCGCTTTTTGCTTAATTGTCCGTTTAATCGACTTCTTACGACAGATCCAAAATGATGACTTGAAATTACATGGCCTTTTTACATCGACGACATTTTACATTATCGTTGAACTTTACATTGAAATATGATATAACTATCATACATACTTTCAATTTATATATTTTGCAATAATATTTATTTTTTATTAGCGATGAATTATTGTGTATTCTCTTCAAGAATGCTTTTATTATACTAGAAAAAATATCGCAAGAAGTAATTAAATGTTATAAGTAAATAATTATAAATAAATAAATAATTAAATGTTATGGAAACATGCCTCATATATTAGGGAAATGCTTATACATCAAGATACATGACGGTGACTATTAATTTGACCAACAAGCTTTATACTATGGCGGTCACATAATTAAACATTTATGTTATATAATCATAAATATTTAATCGCATGCAATTTAGAATATATTTCGCGTAAATTAATAGTACTTATTTGCTAAATTCATTTATTTCGCGGACACTGTAATATTTCATAAAATATATGAGAGATACACGAAAATGCATTATCAGGGATACAGAAGTTAATATCGAACGAAATTCAATATCAATTTCAACGTTGGAATTATAATATCGCATATCACATCTCAAAAATTACATGTGTTGAAATATTTATCAGTGTTCGCACAATCTAAGCATAATAAAATTTCGTTTCCACCTTAAAATTCCATAAAATCGCGAAATATGAATTTTACTGAAAATTTTTTATTTTTCCAAACTATCACTCATTATTTGCCATATACTGAATAAATCGACATTTTAATTATTTTATTTCTAAATCACTAATGCCTTTTATTAAATAATATATCACCAATATGAAACTTTTCCTGTTACAATACACAATATTCTAGCACACAAGTATTACTTGATATTGATTACGTGCGATTAATTATTGCATTCTTACCTCCTCCGCATTCCTTCGAGCAAGGAGAGTAGCCGATTATTTTCCAGGCAAACTTTTTTTTCTTTTTCTTCATCGTCTTTGACTTTAGCTTATTACCCACTATCACGGTAGTCGGCGGATCCGTCACCTCTTCCTTCCGTCCGCCGTGTAGATTGCGATTGCGACGCGTCGGAGATAAATCGGTTCGTCGATTTGATCTGGAAGATAGAAAGAGCAACGTGCTGTACGAACGAAGACAAATCGTGCAGTTTGATTCGCGAGAAGCTCTCATAGATTCCTGTGTCATGCAAAGGAGTATCGGCGAAATCTGAGTCGAACGATCGCTGCATGAAAGACTTGCCACAAGATATATTACAGATGTTACAATAAAGATAAAAACGAAAAATTAAATGTTAAAGATGAGAAATGCAAGAAAAAGGAAAAAAATGTAAAATTATTCAATATAATTAAACTATAAATATATCTAATATATCTAATAAACTAATATGCTATAAATACACAATTTGTAATTTTAATATTTGATGTTAAGAGAGCATCTTTGAGAATCAGTATCTCCAATAACTCGTGTAATATATCGCTATAGAGATTTTAATAAGAGAGTGTGTGTGTGTATTTACATTCTTGTAACTGGTACCCGCACGGTCACATGAGCATCTGGACTAGGTATCTCATTGCCCCGATCATTCGATCCTGCGGAAAGAAATAAAGCATTATAAATTTATGATCTATAATTGGCGATTTTTAATTATATATAATTAATTGTCGAGGAAGCGATTACCTGCGATAAGCAGCGGCGGTGCAATCACCGCTTTACTATCCGGCACTTCCTGTATAGGTAGCATGTATTTGTACACAACGCCTGAATTTAATTCTATGGATAAAATCTATGAAATGTATGAACAATAATATTAGTAACAAAGATTCAATTATGGATCAAAAGGTTTAAATGCATTAAAAAAAAAATATATATATATATATATATATATATATATATATATATATTACGTAAATGAAAATTGCAATGCAAATATAAAATATACAAATAATAAATCAACAAATAATAAATAATAAATCATATAAAAAGCAAGCAACAATTACTTTATCTTCAAATTATATAAAAATGGTATTGGTAATTACATAATAAATAAGTAAACAAAATTAGAGAGATAAAAATTTATGAATAAAATTATGTTCGTAAACTTTCCTGTAACATAAATTATCTACATAATTAAACTGCTCTGGATAATTAATCTGCTCTGGATACGATTAACGAAAAGACGATAATGTAGCAGTACCTCTAAATGTAAAGACTCGTTCAACGGTCCAGTCGCTAAGATACACTCCATACGGTTTCTATCGCCCCTCTGGTATGTTAATGTCGTACCAGCCGCTTTATAAGTACCACTGGGACTGTAAGACCGCGGACCGTTTAGGATGTAACTGCCGTTACTGTCTTTCAACGCTGCGAATAGATCGATCGTTTGTTAACCAGCATACCACTATTGTAGCATCGCGAGTAAAAACCGTCGCTTAATATTACTCGCCTCTGCTTTTACTAGTATATTACTAACATTTTACTCCAGAAGTAAAAAAGTTTATGATTATTAGCGATTATCAGTGATTATTTTTATCGGATTATTTTTTTCTAATGTAACATGATCTTTTTAAATAAAAAATTTAAGAGAAAAGAAGAGGATATTATAACTAATATTTTTAACTAATATTTTTATATTTTATAACTAATATTTTTATTTTTAAAATTATTGTTTTAATTTCTTGAAAAAATGCATTAAATCAAACAAATGCAATTTTGTCAATCGATTTTGTTGATTGAATAATAAATTGTTGATTGCAAGTTTCCAATGCTGTTGCATCTAATCTACTTAGGAAACATAGAAGATGCGATCTCCCTTCAATTTTGTCAAACTCAATTCTCAAGTTCTATTCCCGATATATTCCAAGACTGCATTTCACGATATTTCTAGATAGAGATATTAAATAGACTCTTATTCTCTAACATATAAAAATATATTTTTTTTATATGTTTTTCAAAGAAATTTTCTAAAAATGATTTTGTTAAATAAAAAAATTTTTCTTTAAATCAGAAAAATGATAATTACTTTATATTAATTCATAAAGTTATTTTACATTGATAAATCATCAATGTTACCTAAAAAATTGCTGCTGAACCGTAGCTCGGATATGTTGAGTGACATGGCGCCCTTTGGAATCGTGGTCACTTGCTGATGACCCTTGGGCAAATTCGGTTCCATGAAGATACCTTCGAACAATCTGCATTCCTTACCCTGACCACCACACACACCGCAGGCATCCATCGTCACTCCGGATCCCACTACCCCGTCACATCCTACGGGCTAAATGACAAACACAAGTTTCCAGTGCAAGTTTCCAGTGCTGCTGCACCTAATTCACTTAGGAAACATAGAAGATGCAATCTCCCTTCAATTTTGTCAAGCTCAATTCTCGAGCTCTATTCCAAGACTGCATTTTACGGTATGTTTTTAGATAGAGATATTAAATAGACTTATTCTCTCTAACATATACAAATGTATTTTTCTTTCATGTTTTTTAAAGAAATAATTTTCTAAAAATGTTCTAGATGTTTATCGAAAAAAAAACCGACTGTGTTAAATCAAAATAACAAAAAAATAACTGAGAAACACACGGGCTTATTATTTTTTGTACAGTGCTTGGGAAACTTGTCAAATTCGGAGAAGTTCCTAGCATTAGATAATAAACGCCTGGTGTATCGAGCGTAAGGTACAATGAACCCCGATGCCGACAGGAAAAAGAAATGAAAGAGGGGGTCGTCGTGCGCGGCAAAGGGCCGAAAGCACGATTAAATGTACGGGTCAATAGCGATCTCGTCGATCGTATCGTATCGTATCGCACCCCGGTCGGTCATTAATTTCCGGCATCGTTCCTCTCGCATATCGCTCGCGCTATTCATACCTTGCATTGTCCGGCGACGCAGAGCCACCGTTCGCCGCTGCGTTCCGTCAAAATCCCGTTGCTGCCGCGTCCGCGAAGATTCGGAGCATCGCAGGGCGTGCCATCCATTACTGCCGGTTCAAGCGTTGCGTAAAAACGCTCGCCGACTGCACGGCAATTGAGCGCGCAGGAGTTCGGCGCTGGAGAACAACAGTGATCGCGATTAGGCCAGGCGGAAGTTAGGTCACCGGGCCTGGCCGTTAGGCTACGCGTCATCGTCGCATCGGTCGGACACCGACGTCACCGGCTCATTTAAATATCGCACAAACGTGCCTTCTTGTGTTATTTTATAAAATAATATTTTATAAAATCGCACTTTTCGAAAGGCATAGAATTTTACATATGTATCTTATATATTTTGTATACTTCGACATCATTAGATATTAAAATTGATAATCGGCATATCGTGACGATCAGCTGATTACTTGAAATTTTTTATAATTTTTTTATAATTCTCATATATAATATAATAATAATGAGTAAATTAAATAATAATAATAAGGAACGAATTAAATTAGACTCTTGAAATTAAATCGATAGTGTAAAATTAATTTCTTCAAATTTTAAATTTTCTCCCGTAATGTTAAGAAATATAAAAAATATATTAAAATTCAAATTATTATATCTATGTGAATAAAAAAAAGAATAATCTTCCTTTTCTATAATGTAATTATTCAATTATATTATTAATTAAAGGATATTTCCTAGAGAGCGGTCTTTCTTTGCCTATCTGAAATTGGAAATTATCACGTCATCGTTTTCAGACTCACCGTCCACGAAGGGTACCCAGACGTAACTGCGACCCTTATACGTCTTCACATTGTACTTGGCGCACTGTTCTGCCCGCAGGTCTTCCGCAAAGTTCGGGCATTCCTGCACAAACGCATATTGGATTAATTAAACTTGCAGTAATTAAGAATCGATCGAGAGGGAGGACGGAGGGGAGACGATGGTCGTCGAGAAAGAGACGGTCCGGTTTCCGGGGAGGAAAAAAAAACCCGGCGCGATCGATCGCGTCGCTTTTTACAGCACGTCGTGCTTTTCCCAAAGCGCCGAGGGTAAATAAAGGTAAAATTATTTGCGGCCAGGCGAAAAAAAAGAAGAACTCGCATTCCGAGCCGCCGTGCACGCCGAGAGGAAGTTCGTATATTCGCGCAAACATGCGAATACCGGCACGTGTAGTGTGTTACGTGCGCGGCCGCATTGCAATTTCCGGGTAGACTATTAATTGCCGGCGAACGAAACGGTGGTTACTTTGCCCGGGGGCATGTTTGCGAATCGCGAATGCAGCTCGGAAATGTAGTCCCGGGTATCGAGCTCGAAGATAAATATTACTGCACGAGGCGCCGCCGCTTTTTTTCCCAGGTAATAACGGATAACGAAGCCGTATGGTTCGGTTAACTTTTCAAGCCAACTTCATTGTATCGCTATTTTAATTTCAGAAGCAATTCAAAGCGATTTTAATTTAAAGCTTTAACATTAACGAAAATTGTTATTTTAACAAGAGAATATTTTAAACTGGCAACAATGTGCAAAATAATACGTATAATTGGCCAGGAACACCGATGAGTCTGATCGGAACGCGTCGAGAAGTAAACAGACCTTCTTGTAAAATTTTTATTACCACGAAGGACTAATCGACACCAGCAAAGCATTCTTCTCTCTCCCTCCCTTTGTTCGATACCAGGCAAAGCCATCCATTACACGGGGATCTTTAGTCTCGCAGATGGTGATTATTCTTATGAATTTTACAACACACGCATGCCGGGCCATGGTATATAAATCGTCGTCGTGCGCATCCTTAATTGGCTTACGCGATGATTTGTTCGCGACTCGTGACGCACCGTCGAGAGGAAAATCCTAAGGAGCGTGCCCTACACACGCATGGGTCTACGTGATATGGACACATTCATTGATATATACGGCATCGTAGAAGTAGTGATACGTATGAGCATGTATATAAATTTTATGGACGAGCAAGTTTACATGGTTAATCGTCGGTTCAGAGCTCTAATAACCGCATAAGAAACAAGGCCACCATCCGACATGAGAAAATGGAGCGAGTGCTTATAATTCGAAAGAATGCTTACTTCATAAAAAGAATGTGATTATCTCTTTTTGCGTTGCAAATATTTTTCTTAGAGGAAATTTAAATTTTAGATTAGAGCATCGATAAAATTACACAGATACTGATATAATCATAATTGACTAATCAACAAGATACTATTTATACGAACTAATCTCATTGTAATGTCATTTCGAGAAACTTCGCAAAAATATATCTCTAAAATAATTCTTCAAATGCATATGCTTTATATTCTAGTATCTGGTTTTTATACAATTTAAAATTTTAATAATTTTAAAATTAATTTAATTAATTTAAAATTGTTTAAAAAATTTTTAATTAATTTAAAAATTCCTCTAATTTTTCTCAATAAAAGCGAAAATTATGCGACGACTTACCTGTGTATTACACGTGTGGTAGCGCTTATATGTGCCGATACAAATAGGTCTGACGCTACTCGTATCATTCTCCGAGATAATACTTCGTCTTCTTAAGAGTCTCCTAAAATGAATCGCTCGCATTAGCTCATACATCGACTCAAACGAGTGAATGGCACGCAGTGTATCTTGATTTTTTTAATGGCGAGTGTATAAGTTTTTTATACAGCATCATGCTAATCTCGAGATCAAAGGAGAGAGACTTTATGCGATAAAAATGAACGAATCGATTACCTGCGCATCTCATTTAATAATGTTGCTGTGCTATGCGAAAGAAACACACACGATTATGCTTATTATTGCATGGAAGGATAATTGCTCGATATATTGTACTTTTTATATTTTCTGTAAAATCGAGTACAATAATTGGAGTACTTAAATTTATATTTTTTCTCTCTCTTTTTCTCTCATAAATTATTTTATCTTTATTTAAACATTTTAATATCAATTAAATTGCCCCCTTAATTTTTATTATCTGAGGTGATTCAGTAATTTTTATTGTATTAAAGGGAACTCAAATTTAAAGCCACGAAACGATTTGCAATTACGAGAAATTGGGTATCCCTCATTTACTATAGTGAACTCGTCGCAAGATTTATACTGCAAGTCACGTAACGGCTCACAGTAGCGTTACGAAGGTGTAAATGTCAGCGGCGATAACAACACGTTTCTGCCCCCGAGAGAAACTCGCGAGAGTCCTTCTCTCTTTTTCTCTCTCTCTCTCTCTCTCTCTCTCTCTCTCTCTCTCTCTCTCACTCTCAACGGCCTGCCGGTATATAATCTTCTTACGCTACTGATCCGTAATTTGCACGCTGCTTTATAGCTAACCGGACAGAGCATATAGGGTGTGCGGAACTTGTATGCTAAACTTGTATCTTCTAACTTGAAGCATATGAATTTAAATCACTCACAAATACTTTTTATTTTAATTCCATATTTTTTTATTCTTTGAGCTATTTTTTTATTTTAACAAATATATAATCTTGAAATAAAATTTTACCAACGACAAAATTCGTTTAAAAAATAAAGTTTCAAAGGGAACACATTGTATTTACTTAAGTAAGTAACGGTTCGTCAATTCGGTTTCAAATTCATATGCATGAGTGCATAGTAAATATTTATACGAATATATGGCAGTATACAATCTTAATATAAGTTTCAAATAAGATAAAAAGTTTCATCGACGCTCTCATGTTTATGATGTAAATAAAAATATATATGTTTATGTTATAATATATAAATACTATCCTATAAGAGAAAACTGTCTATATTTTATTCAAAGGTCTATATTTTATTCAAAGATAAAAAAAAACACGTTTTATAATATTGCAAATAATTTTTCTTCAAAAGATAAAAAATACATTTAAAAATCAATCTTCAGACTTATTCTTCTTGCTCTATATTTTATTTAAGAAAGTTTTCATTAAAAGATTTTAAATAAAAATCTAATATATTTTTATGGCTGCTACATAACATGCTGTATTATAGTACAAAAGAAAAGAATTAAATAATCTGTTTAATAAGATACGCGAGATTCGCGACGAATCCGAGGCACCCTGTATGCGTTTTATGGATAGGAAGAAACCGAAGAAGATCGATGGTGATCGATCAATTGAGGAGCAACTTGTAGGAATAGCGTACTCGCGCACGTGAGTTCAAAGTTCCGCGCGGTTATGCAGCGACTTCGCCTTGCGAGTGCTTATGATCTAAATTGCGCGAGACCCTAACGGTATCGTGAGGCGTGTGATTATTGTTAGAATCGACCGGGCATTATCGCAAGGTGCTTTGCATTCGAACCGCGATGCCATACGATTACCGGTCCCGTCATGACCTCCCGCAAAAGATGCGTGGCCTCCCCCGTCCCGCGAGGACAAAGGTGAAGCAAGGTGTGGAAATCATTAATTGAGCGTGAAGATATTTGGCGTACCATATGGTGTTCGATCTTCGTGCTTAACAAGCGCTCGTCGCTTTTATCTTATTTAAAAACACGAACAAGTGTGAAACGTCAAGGAAATCAGCTGTAATTTATGTTTATAACATCGTGCATTTTTTTTTCTTATTAAATTGTCAGCTTTATAATATGATCGGCTGTGTCATTTAGCATTTTATATTCATTGTGTATATTTTAAGATTTTTGATATAATTCATATTATATTAATGTGCATACACACTCACCGTAAAGGAATGCATTCTCGAGATTGAGACTGGACACCAGTGCCACATGATCTGGAGCATTCGTTCCACGAGCTCCATGTGCCCCAAGTTCCTCTCACCCTATTATCACGTCCAATTCCAAATTGTGTTCTTTCTTGTAACATATGATACACCTGAAAAAATCAACACAGTTGCATTAATCAATCTTTTAGCGAGCGATAATTTTGAAATTTAGAAGCAAAATTTATTTTAAAATCATAAAAAAGATAACAATTTTCGCAAATAAAAAGAAAAAGAACTTGGTATATGTATGCATTTTTACATTAATAATAACAATGCAAATTTATAAAAACTGCATTTCATTAAAATCTATATCTATATATATTTTATCTTTCAAAATTTACAATACTTTTCTATTAAATAACTTGTATACACTTGATCATAATTTTATATAACAAATATATGTTTATATAAAATTATCTTGAGAGATATTATTTCTGGATCTTCAGTTATCATCTCTGTATCTCTATCTTTTTACAAGAAATATCTTCACGCTCGCGTGAAGAGCGATGATAGATTTGTAGAAAAAAAAGTAGCAAGTATCCAGGTGGTAATTAAACGATGGAGATAGATGGAAAAGGATAGTATGCCTCTAGTATTCCTGTTAATCACACGCCGGCATCATAGAGCACAAACTGTTTGTTCGGTAATTAATATCGCTACCGCGAATGAGATTCCAATTAGACCGTGCGCTTCGGTATCGTGGACTCTTGTCGTGATTAATTAAACGAAGGATCGATTACCGTATTGCATACACAGAGCTGAATTTACAGTACTTCGATCTATCTCTGAGCACCACGGGCTGTCCGTTGTATTAACTTCTGCCGGAAGTTCGCTAATGTAGCATCGCTCTACGGTAAGAAAGGCTCGATTCTCACGTGAAGATTTCCCGTGCTTCACGCTTCATATCCGATCCTCCCTCCAATCAGGCTCGTCTAATTAATCAAACGGACGAGTCGCATATCTCATGCTCGCACGCGAATTATACGCGTAATATTTCGAGCCTGGAATACAAATTGTCGATTTCGACGAACCTCGCGCGAGACGAATAACAACCGTTAAATCTTGAACGGCTTCTTAAATGCGACTTTTGTTCCACCCACGTTCGTCGACCGTTGCTAGATCACTTCTATTTTTAACGGGCCGATAATGATTCAGATTTCGTAGAGGAGAAAATACATTACGCGCGATTAAATTTTTCGTAAACATCATGCAAAAATATACGTCTTTGCTAACGGCGAATTTTGGATTCGGGCGGGAGCATTTAGTCGCTTTTTTGTAAGTCGTTAACCCCGAGACCAACAGACTAATACTTCCTTAATGCCCCGGCATTAACTCCGGAACGTTAATCACAGCACTTATACAGTACAGCCGTGCACATAGAGGAAAATATATACTTCACGTTAGATATACATAAAAAAAAGTTTATAATGCAATATAGAGAACCAAAAGTTGATTGAGAATAAATTCATAGTGCAAAGACACAGTATTAAACAATAATAAAAAAAACTGACTATACGATTTAATCGAAATTAATCAGAGTCGAGTCAACATTTTGTTTAAAATCAATGAAAATTATGGGAAAATGATACATGCATCTTAAAAATAACAGATTATGATTAAATATTATTCGTATTTAAAAAAGATTTAAAAAAATTAGCTAACGAAAAAAATATTTCTTACAGAAATATCCAGATATACAAATTCTAAGAAATCCACAATGTATGAAATATTATAATAATTATAATTAAATAAATAATAATTAATAATAAATAATAATTTAATAAATATTATAATAATTATTTCCGACATTTTATATTCTTCTTATTGCAATACCGATTCGGAAACATGCATATACATATCAAACACTTCAGAGAGGCGACCTTGACGTAAGCTCTTGCGATAAGGGTCGCAGGTGTGACTTCAAGTGGCAAGAATGCGCCGCGTTTTCTAGGCCGTGCCGTCTATTTTCGTGTCATTCGTAATGCCACAACGTTTTCCAGAATAAACAGACTTCTTAAGTGTAATTATAACATGATACCGAAGGAACAACGCCGGCAATACGTAATGTTTGCATTCTCAAGCTGTGCGACACCGTGGCCTTGCGCTTTGCGCCAGTGTAATTTAGGAACTTTTCCTCGGTGTCGATTAATTATCCTCTCGGCGCAATGCCACCCAGTATAGTGGCCATGTAATTGCATATTAATTCTCGCAGATGAATTGAATTAATATGCGCGCACGGTGAAGGTTTTTATTGAGGAGATCGGACAGAGATCTCCATAATAATCAATTGCGAAAGCAAATCACGAGCATTATTATTTATTAGTGTTTTTCATCATTAATATTGGTTCTCAATGAAAATTAGCTTACCAAGACTGTGTGATAAATCGATATAATTAATATCTCTTCTGTATTACTCTTTTTATTACTTATTATTATACTTATTTGTATACTTATTATTTATTACTGTATGTATATTTATTATTATTTATTAATAAAATATCCGACGATATTCTGATTAAAAACTTCTTGTTTTAAATTTTGTGTTTATATTTGAATATAGAAATTTTGTTTTTATCATTAATAATATTTTTAAAACACACATAAATTTAAATTCGGAATTCACATAAACAGAAATTTTCAAAGAATTTGGAAGAAAAATTGTCATGGATAATATTTTTATAATTTAATTTCTCACAAAAATATTTGTTTGCCAGTTAGACACATATGCTAATTACTATCAATAAAATAGAGAATATTTCTACGGAGACTTACTTCTATGGGATATTTGTCGGGCATGTGAAAGGACGAAACACCGGCCGCACTTAGTATCATCAGGACTAGAATCGATCTGCAACAAAGATAAAAGAACGCATATAAATCGATCCATTGTATAAATACGAAGATCGATGAACATAATTTACACTTTCGCGAACGATAACTATTCGCGTCGAAGCAATTATTCTTTCATCGCATCCTCTTTCGTTTGCTTTCATTGAGTTAGAAATTTCAAGAATGCGATCTTAATCTTTATTGAATGATTAACCGCGCACTTTCGCGAATGTGCAATAACGCTGGTGAATTAAAGTCGGTAATGCCAGCGATAAATTTATCTAACTCTTTGTACTCCAATTTTTTGTACTCTATATCTCTTAATACTCCATATTTTTCAATTAATACGAGAACAACTTATAACAAATAAAATAGAAAAAATGTATATATTTATAATATACATTATATAATAAAATAATTATGTAATTAGCTTATCTTTCTTCTATTAAAAATTAACGATTATTAAAATACAATATTTATAATTTTATAATTAAAAATACAAATATTTGTAAATAAAATATTTATAATTTTAAATATACAAAATATTATATTTAATTTAAGATATATGATTTCTATACTGTTATATTATTCAAAGTATCACGTGGCTGGAACGTATTTGACAAGCCTCGGACACATGTTGCTTCTGTTGGCATAATCATCAGTATGTTGATCACATACATAGATGTAGATCTTGTGATCGATATAATCGATTCGCGTCGTCTTATCTCGGCTCGATCAAACAACACTACATGTACGTCCCAATTTTTCCCACCATATACAGTCGTTCTTTCTTCCATCTCTATCTTTCGTGCATCCCAGGATCGAGGTCGACATGCAATCTCAGCATCCGTTGCTCCACGGGATAACGATGGCGCACTGCGATCTTTGCTTTTACCGCTTAGGTGGCTACGTAAACTGCAGACTAATGTCGGCTCAATTCGTCATGTTGATTGTACCAAGGTAAGCGTTATGATAGTATCTTTCAAAAGTGGGGGTATCGCGGGTAGTCTTTAAATAAACGCAAAATTGAACACATTAATTTAGTCTAAACAATAGAATAGTAGGTATGATTAATAAAATTAATAAATAGTAATCTTTATAGACAAAAAATTTCTATAATCATTATAAAAATTGATAAGATTTTTATAGAGATTTCTAATATACGAAATTTACATTAAAACACATTAGATTTCAAAAAAACGTTTTACTTTTAAAATTTTTGCATTCATGTCTATTCCCTTTTATATATTTAACGAACATTTCTGACATTCTCCCCAAGGAAAATTTCGTAGTTCAAATAATGTGTCTTATAATTATTCACAAATATATTTTTAAAAAATGCCATTCTAATAACAATCATAAATCTAAGGAGAATAATTATGTCAATATAATATATTTTTTCTAAATTTTGATATTTTTTTCTTTTTCTTTAGCTTTCAAAATGTCTTCTCAGTATCCTGAATTTTTTTCCGTCAAATTAAGAAAACAGAAGGAGTAAAGTCAGAAGTGTGAGTATGAGCGATGTTCGCTACGTAGAAAATACATATATAGGTACCGCGAAGTATGCTGATGCGCCTTCATGCGCGCAAGAAGCGCAACTGTCTTGTCGCTTCTCCATACTAATTATTCATGAGCGTTAGCTTAAATACCGTCTGCGAGTTGGGAAACGTACGCGAACAAATAGAAAACGCACACGGCGATGATAGGTCGCTGATGCGTGCAGACGGCAGCCGCCGTATCATCTCTCCGCGGAAATTATTCAAAAGCGTGCAAGCTTTAAATAAAGATATCGATGCAAATAGGAAATAAAATAAAATGCAAAATAATTTTGACAAGTCGCTCGATTTATGCATTTATTAATTAATTTTGTAATCAAAAGTTGAGATGAGCCAAAAACTTTTACCTTTAAATTAAGCAAAGAAACATTCAACACTAATATTAATAAACAATTATTTGCAGATTATTTATAAATTATCAATATCAAAAAATATCTCTTTAAAACAAATTCACCGATTTCTTGAGTTTTCTTTAACTTGTAAAATAGTAATCGTTAATTTAGATTTTAAAAATGTTATTAAAAAGAGGGAAAGTTAATGAATATGATAACATAAATCTTGCTTTATCAGAGCGTAAACAATTAGAATTTTTTATTCCAATCAGACCGTAACGACACCTAACCTTCACACTTTAATTATTTCCAACAGATATTAAAAAAAAAATACATAATATAATTATATCATGTTTAATTACATTTAATACTTTGATAAGAAATAAATTTTGATCTATAAGTGCATTTCTTACTATTAAATGGAAAAGTTTACAAGCCAAAATTATGCATATTATATATTTGCCCACTTCATTGATCAATGTCAAGTTATTAAAAGCTGATAAGGAGTGGGGAGGAACTCAGACGAACAGGAAGTGCGTACAAACCAATGATTACACATAAGAGGGCGAAGGGGAGAGACCTCGACTGCCGCTGATCCGAATAAACTGTGCCACTAAGCACTAATAACGTTTCACTTGTTGCGTTTTCTCAGAAAGCTTAATTAATCATTAGACCATGCCGCGGAAGGGGGAAGGAGTAAGGGAAATGCAGGGTCCGAATGAGTCGCGATGCAACCGCGGGATGAGAAGAGCGAGATGCGCAGACCGCCCGTCGCGGCATTGCGTACATTACGGGAATGCGTGCGTGTGTAATCACAGAAAAACGCACTATCTCGACTTTCCACGCGATGCGCTCGTAAGTGGTGCATCCGAAGGGCGGCATGGATCTCGCATTGCGATGCAGCGTGTTAGTTGGCAACGGCCAACAAGACGCGTGGGTTCTTCTCGGCAAAGCTGAGAGCTTCGCGAGCTCGCTTCAAGAAGATTGCGCGAGATCGGAAACGAGGAATTTTGATTTTTATCCACGACCCAATCGAGCGAGAGACTCACGTCGTCGTTCATTCACCTTCGCGCATTAATTCTAAAATCGCTATAATATGTGCTATCAGATAGGGCATTTGAACTAGAAAGTAGTCAATATTTATCTAATGCATCGAATAAAAAACTAAAGTATCAGGCTCCTGTTGATCATGTGATTTCAAAAACGCGACTGTATAAAAAATCAAAAATTAACAATCAGTTGGATTATTTTCGATAATAATATTTTTTTAGTAATTGCATATCAAGAGAATCCGAGTTTATTCTGAGATAGAAAATTTACAGTAATTTTCAGTTATTCGAGATTTCTTTTAAGTGAGTTTTAGCTCTTTGAGCGAAACGACTCCAAAGAATTCTATCATACCATGTAACATATCTAAAGTTTAAATGTCCTTTAAGATTTCATCATTTGATCTTGATAATAGTTAAGTAGCTTATATAAAAAAAAATCGATATTCGAAATATAAAATATTTTGGTAATAGTTGTTAAGACATTAAAATATAAATAAAAATATGCATTACATCTATTATAATTAAAAATTCTCATTTTCTTTTAGACTAATGTAAAATAAAAATCGAATTAAATACAAAAATTGCTATAAATAAGTATATACTAATTTATATAATTTAATTCTGAAGAAATTAAATTTCACAGGAGTAAATTTAAATCCAAAGAATACTGATGATATTTATAAAAATGACATTTATATTCATATTCACATTTTTTAATAGAAATTAAAACAACAGTATCATCTAATTCCCTTCAATTTAATTGACATTAAATCTTGGACTTTCTGTATCAATTTGCTTCCGCAATCGCTCCTTTTCCGTACTGTTTAAAGTACGGTAGGTCTTCAGTAGAGATTCCGCGCTTATCAGCGACAATATGATCACGAATTGCGCTTCGCGATGCAAGTTGTAATGCAAATACATTCTTGCCGAAGGATCGATCTCCGCAACAAGAGCCTACAATGTTACGGGCAGCTATGAACCGTATATCCGCGACCCGTTACGACTTCCCGTATCACGCGGCTCGTCTATCGCGGCTCGTATCTTGCACTTACAACAAACAATGCCAGTCTTGTACTCAATAGCGTAGGAATGCGAAAAATCGATCAATAAGAAACAGCAGCTCGCCTCGGCCGGCTTTATAAACCCGGCTAGAATCTTTCTATTGAAGGCGAGAACAGCACATCAATAGCACGCCACCATAAAGTCGAGGAGGTCTCAATGGATCCCATTAAGAAGAATGTCGAGCTCGCTTTTTGTCGTTAGAGCGAAATTACTAACGCTGTATTCGATGCGACTCGCCACTTTCGCAGATCTATTCTGTAATATCTGTTTGTAAACACATTAATATATATATATATATATATATATATATATATATATATATATTCTATTTAATTATATTTTAAATAGAATATTTAATTATATTTAAATTGAACAAAGAGTGAGCGAAGATTATAAAAATATATTTAATCGATAACTATATAATTATGTTTTTATCAAATTCAATAAAAAAAATTTTAGTGCTACTGCATGCGCAGCAATCGGATAAAATCAGTGCAAGTCATTCACTGGGAATCATTACACGACGGCATCATTAAATTATTGTATTACGTGGCCAATGAACAAATTCTCTTCTAATGATATGTGCTCAGACGGAACAATTGCGGGTCGCGCGACGGGTTTAACGGCGTCATATATTAATACAAGCTTTCGCCGTGTCTTCAAGTTGCGGCTGCACATTGTAACTTTTACGGCGGTATTATAAATAAACGGCACTTGCCCCGCAATTACGGCGGATCGTAAAAATTACGCTGAGTTCTGCGCGTCCGCCGAGTAAAAAGTTATATATACCGTTGCAGTCTTAACATTGTGTATAAGCTTTCAAAGTTTGAGTTATGATTCACAATTTGAAATTATATAGATCATATTGAAATCATATAAGACAATGCAACGTTAAATCCAACTAAAATCGAACGACCATGTTTAATATGTAATTTCCAACTGTGCTGTTTTATATCTTTTCAACGGAGAGCTCTCTCTCAAGTATTCCCCCGTAAATTTCTCATATTTTATTTTAAAATA